GGCAGGAGGGTTGGACTGGATGACCCACAGAGGTCCCTTCCAACCCCGACCATTCTGTGATTCTGTGATTCTGTTTGCTTTGCATATTTAACGTGTCAGGATGATCTCTTGAGTCCCCCCACGAGGCACTCGCTCTGGTAGAGCCATTCTGGAGCCCCTGCTTGCACATCTGGGGCTAAATGTGGTGTTTTTGGAACCGTCTGTAGACTGGTGAAGGTGGCTGGTTGGGTTTTCCAGCTGATGAATTGTTGAGGGTTGAGGAAATCAAAGATCGTTATTGTACTTGTGAATTAAAAGATCGGTGGTTTGAAGAGATGGGCTTCACTTGGTCCCTTGGATGTTGGAAACCCAAGGGTCCCAGCTTTGGAATGTGGGGACTGTGGGCGTTCAGGGTGCATTTGGTACCACTGACACCAAGGGGCTGGCGAAGCAGCTGATGAAGACGCCCGTTTTTCTACAGCCTGTGTGTAATTAATGTTGCTGATGCCTTGTCGGTCGGATGTGGTCGGTTTAGATTCACGTGTGTTAGTTCAAGCATTTCATCTGATGTTTGTTGGAACAGTTGCTTTACGTGTTACACGAGAGAAAATGTATCGTAAGCATGCTGTTTTGTCGTCAGTTTGTTGATTTTTTTTATCAATCTCCCATTAGAAAGAGAAATTATTTGAAATACTAGCTTTTCGACTAAAGCTTTTTTCCAGAGCTTGAATCAGTCTTTTATTGCTGGCAAATCTCATGTAATAAAACATTTTTCCCCGGTTCTAGAGTATCTTTAAGTGTTTGTCCTCGTTCTTTCTAATTCTATGTGTTTTCCTTTTTGCTAACCAGGAGCTGCAGGTAAGTTGCAGCCTGGTGCCCTGGCTTGTTCATCTGTGTTTGTCTGTGCTGTGTTTGTACCTTCTAGTCCGATAGATAAAATTGATACCGGTATAGCTCTAGATTATATATTGAGTTACTTTCCAAGAAGATATGCAAAAGATTTCTGCTTTATTTGCCATCTATTTTAATTTATCTACAAACATCATTTAAGAAGGTATTTAAAATTTCAAGAAAATTAAAGGGCTGATTGAAACTCTGCTCATAATGCATTCCGTTCTTGTGTATTCTGTGTTGCATTTGTGTATTAATTTTTTGACGTTGAAATCCGTACGTACATATCTGTGCAAACTTTGTTTGATTACAGGGTGAGAGCATGGACAACTTCAACTGGGGCGTTCGCAGGCGCTCGCTGGACAGCATCGACAAAGGCGACACGCCGTCGCTGCAAGAATGTCAGTACTCCGGGAGCACGCCCAGCCTGAACTTGACCAACCAGGAAGACACGGATGAGTCTTCGGAAGAAGAAGCAGCCCTGACCGCAAGTCAGATACTGTCTCGTTCGCAGATGGTGAGTTATTTTTCTGCGAAAGGAATCCTTCACTGGATGGGCATGGCCCACGCTTTCGGCCTCAGTGAACGAAAGAGGAGCGAAGTTAAGGTGGCTAAGCTGCTGTTTCATGACAACATCAACGAAGGGAAAG